AAAGTCAGAATTCTGAGAATAAAGTCAGAATTCTGACATTAAAGTCAGAATTCTGACTTTTTCCCCATACTATACTGAAATAAAATAAAAAAAATCAGTTAACTTTTTTTTTTTCAGTGGCCCTAATCCTCTTCCGTAGGATAGAGCATAAAACAAAATTTTTTACATATATTTTTCACAATCTAGAATGGGTCGCTCTGTTAGCTAAAGGAATGTTTTAGAGTCTCTATACACCATTTAACTAGTGACTGATTACTAAATTAGTTGACAATTATTTCAATAATAGATTAATCATGATTAATCTGATTAATTCTTTCAGCCCTAATCTACAAAAATTCAGATTTTGAACTTCTTGTTTACATACTATATTTACTCACCTCCTTTTAACTAAAGAAAAAGGCATTAGGCACAAATTCTTCCCTTTACAGCCTGACTTTGTGCTTTGTGTCACTTATTCTATCTACGGAAAACATGCACCTGAACATTTGTTTGGTGTGCCTGGAAATAACTTCCCTGACTTGATGTAGGAAAAAAATACTAATACATTAAAGATTGCTGAGCAGTCAGTAAGAAGGCCTAATTTAAAGTTTAGAGTCATTATGGTGCCAGTAAATTGTCCTTCAATTGCAATGTTTACACTGGCTTGCATTTCACCGTGGGTGGCGCAATCTCTTTTGGTATCACTTACATTTATAGAAAGTGTTGCAGTTGTTGCAGGAAAATCTGGAATTTGTTTTTCAGCCTGTTTGCTAACCGTTGTCTAACTAGATTTTTTCTTTTTCATTTTCTAGTTTTCAAATATAACAGATCTGTCCCTGTTATAATCAATCAAAAAATTATTTGTTTTCTTGTTATTTGCAGCTCTAAATCCTTTTTGATGAGTGGGATTTAGAGCAGGGTTTGTTGAGTGTTTTGCTACACTTAACACCTGATGAAGTCTATGATTAACTATTGCAACAGTCTTATGGCATGCTAAAGCTGTTGACATTAGAAAAAAGGTGTAAGAGCAATTTCCTCCTGCTCTTGAAACCTGACCTATCTTCTGCATGCCCACTGGGCTTCAAAGACAATAACATTGTAAAAGAAAAAAATAAATAATTTCAATTTTAGACCTTAAAATGCCTTTATTAAGTCCAAGATTTTCATTTTCTGCATTCCCTCTATTTTATTTTGGCAAAATTTAATGTGGAGTATAAATTGTTCTAATTAATTTTTTTATGGATAAAACTGATCATGAAAATGCACATATCAAGCATATATTTAAATTTTGTTGTGTAGATACTGTTAAGCCCAAAATAATGAATGCGCCTGAAAAATGTCAAATAATTTCCTAAAAACTTTCTGTCTAATTGAGAATCATGTGAGCATCTCTAAAATGTAAACGGAGTAGAAATAAGAGAAAAATATTCTGTTTTTACTCATTTAAGGTCATTAACTAGGACCGAGGGCAAAAACGGCTCTAAGGATTATAAAAGTTACTTCAAAAACAGAAATACAAATAAGTAAAACTTGAAATGTTTAATGGTTGGTGTTTTGGAGGCATGACACGAATTCTTTGTTTAGTCCATCAGGATAATTGTTGGTCCCCATGATTTGCATATTAGGATCCTAGTGTGAAAGAGACTAGTAGGTATACATTTTTTGAGTAAATGCTAAATTGCCTTCTGTGTTTCTCCACTTCAGATCTGTGTTACAATGTTTTTTTTTCCTGCTGCAGCCAATTTGATAACAATCAATCTTGTCACACCAGTATAGTAAGACTTGTAGCGCATATAAAACTTTAGCCTCGGTCACTCGTAAAGGTAATCCTCCAATGCCCTTTATCAAATAACTTTTAAGGTGTCTGACTAAATGTAAATCGAGATGATCATTGAGACTCTACCTTTCTGCCAGGTGTTTTTGTTCTGTAGTTCAGGGAGCTTCAGCAGAGATGCCCATCTAGCAGGAAGCTGTGCATTGCTTGTTCTTCTGAGAATATTATCCTCAGGTGGAGTGGTTTCTCTTTTAAAGACCTCCTCCTATGGCTCCTCCTATTTCAGATTAGTTTCAAATTACAAAGGGAAACCTTTTTTTTCTGTGAATTTCTAAAAGGTAACTCCTACTCAGGATGATTAGCTTTTCCTTTGGTTTGTTGTTCAGGTTGTGTGGGTGAAATCACGCCCTGTTGGTGGGCTTTGTTGATTACAGGTAAGTTCCTAGAAAAGGACACTGATTTTGAATGTTAAAAGTCTGAGGTTACTTCTTAGAAAATCCTATTTTTATTAGAAAGTTCTAATAGTTTACCCTTAGTTAGGGATGGGGCCGTGGATGAATTCCTGGAGTTTTTCTGCAACCTAATAAAGAAAACTCATTTTCTCTCTTCTATGTATAAAAGCTGCATCTTCTTCTTGAATTCACTTGTGCCTTTGTTTACAACTTTACTTTTCTTTACTAAACAAAGACCTAGAGACAAAAAAACTTGTTCACATCCTTCTATGACAGGTTTTGTTAAAGGTTGGCGTTTTACACCTTGTACTGTCTAAGAGCAGTGATCCAGTTTTTGTTTAACTCTGAGCGATTTGCATTTAAAGGAGAGGCTTTTGCAATGTTGTCGTCTAGAAAGTGCTCTATCCAGTGTGGATTTATTACAACACACAGACACACAGTGTTGTACTGCCAGTGGCACTGTGGCTGTCCTTTATCATCACGCTGCCACTAAATGTTTATCCAATATATACGAAAGCAAAGTACAAAGACAATTTGTGTGCCACTAAGTTCAAAGTCATGTCCATTTTTTTTTTTTTACATGTCATTTATGCTGTTTTTTTATAGCTGGTAATTATGAAAGAACCAAGAAATTATCTTTGCATTTCATCTTTATTGTGGCGGCTGTAACTAACTAATTCTAGTGCATTAGGGTTTAGTACAAGACAAAATTAAAAAGCTAATTTATCATAGTTGCATGAATTTGGTTTCTAATGCGCTTGACAAAAGATGATGGCAGCCCATGCCGCTGAGGTGAAACCAAACACTGGACACAGTAGCAATGAATCACACATCTCTGCTAGAAATATGATTTGGTTTAAAAATCGTAGGGATTTAGACATTTTCATAGCAGTCCATCAAAGACAAGTCATCAAGGATGAAGAACCAGAAGATTTTAGTGGAATTGACTAAAACCTTATAATGCAGGAAGGCCAGGTGCAGCTAAAATGTTTCCTCCGCGGTTAGAGGTTGTAGATTGCAGCATGTTGTAAGCGCTCCTATAAGTGGTCATTCTAACCTGTTGCTAATCAGTTGAGGGGCCATGACACAATGATGCATTTTTCTGTGTCTTGTCACTAGATCGACTGATACAGATTTTTCTTTTTTTTTTTTTATACCAGGCCCTGAGAGAAATATTTGCTCTCCTTATTTAGAGCAACACTTAACTCCTGGACCAGATACCTGTAACTTAAAATACAATGATAATATATACATTTTTTTTAACAAAGCTGATGTTGCTTTTTCTTAATCATGATCAGGTTCATTTTTGCACCCATTTAATGCAGCTTGATGACTACTTTTATGAAGTTTAACTATGCACACTTGACCAATTATTTTACAAAATCTACCAGGTAGGTCTAGCCTCTATAGTATTTAATGAGAATTTGCCACAAACATTTATCAAGTAAAAATGTGTGACATGTTTGAGCCCTATTGGGATCATGCATTTATTTCAACGTTTGCTTTAACCCACTGTGATGCTGAGACAAATTGAACCAGTCCTTATCTTTGCCTTTGTAGCCGACACTGAAACCTTTGGCTTAAAACAGAGATACGAAATTGCGCATACTTTCTAGTCAAATGCTTATCTATAGCACAGTTAAATTAACACAACAATGAGTTTCCAGTTATATGTGTCTATTTAAGTCCTTTCCTGAGCTGAAGGGCTTCTGGTTTGCATTCCCTTTGTAGAAAAGCTTAATAGCCAATAATAAAATAAAATATATATATATTTTTTACTGCAATATTGTCAATGCATACTTTTTAAGGATGTAAAATAAATATTGTGTCCTTAATATTTGCGGTCATTTCTTATCTCTAAGCAGGTGTGCACAATCATAAAATTTTTTTGAAGGTTTCTGCAAAATGTATTTGTTCTGTGATGGTATATTTACACAATAAAGTAGCTGATATAAACCATCATCTTGTTTTAGCAAGATAGTGGTTTACATGTAGGTTTTGAGAAGAATATTTGGATGAAATTAAATTATTAGTTTGTAAAGAATGTTTTTTTTTTTTTCATGTAAAAATATAATTTTCGATCTGCATATGTAGCTGCTGTATCGTTCATAGTAAAGATTTCTCAATTTTTAGATCCTTTTGTAGTTGAGCAGTCTGTTATTGTTGTGCTGGTGCTTTATTTGGTTTTGTTTCAGACTTTTCTCTTAAAATGAAAGTTACGTCACCTTATATTTGTTGCTGCTGTTTGGTTCCCACCTCTACACTCACTAAACCAGTCTGACCAGCGTGTTACATGAATTATTAAACCTATCATTTTATCAGTGGTGTGTACAAATTTTTTGATCCATCGTAGTTAATAAACATGTGATAACTTTACTCCTTTTTTCATCCTTGCACTCAACATTATGTCAACTGTGTGGCAGGATGTTGGACGCATGAAGATTGAGCTGTTTGCTGATGTGGTTCCAAAGACTGCAGAAAACTTCCGGTAAGGAAAATGCCCTTTAATGAACAGTACCTTATCGTTTTTTTGTTGTCATTATTTTTGTCTGTAGTTTAGTTATTTTTACATGTAAAAAGTATAATGCAATTTATTTTAACCATGTTGATCCTTATTTTATAATTCTTTTCATAATCCCTAACAGGCAGTTCTGCACAGGAGAGTTCAGGTAAGGTTGCTTTATACAGCACTACTATATTCAAACAGCTCCACCCACACTGTTTGGCCATTCTTAAGAGTGAATTTGTGTTAAAGATGTTAAATAAACTCATTTTAATTGTAATTACCTGATCCTACAGTTAACATTTTTGAAGAATCCAGTATTTAATTTGCTTTCATCTTATCTCTGGTTGAGAAATTTCCACATTTTTGCACATTCTCTCTAGAACGAGGGCACTTAGATGTTTGCTCCCTAGCTCATCCCACACCTTTTCTAGTATTTAGTTGGTATGTCTCTGTGGTTAGTTAGCCAAATGTTTTGGATCTTGAAGCCAAATGCTAGCCACTTTCTCCTATTAAAAAAAAATTAATACCTCTTTTCAAATTCAGAGACATTCAAATTAAGATCTAGGTAAATATATGGAAACCATCTTCAATTAATGGTTTTCATCCATTTTGAACTAGATTATCATGTACAGGCCATATATCGAAACCAGCAGGTTCCTTAATCTTTTGGTAATAGTATATATTTGCCATTAATTTGGTTTCATTTGTAAAGGAAAGCTCTGTGTTTACAACTTTAAGCTGTTTCTCCCCGATTCTTTCCTGAGAAGAGATTCCTCGAGACAAACTCTTTGAATAACACTTCATAATGTATAAGTATTAAAAAACTATAAGGCATGAAAACATATTTTGACAGAAATTGTAATCTTACTAAGACCAGAGAATTTGCTTAGGGTTACAGAAGTCTGTGCTTACCAACTGGGCTCGCTTGTTGTTTAGGCCCTGAATCAGAGTTAAAGAAGCATTTTATGCAACTCCAGTATCACACCCTGCCACATCATTATATCATATATGTTTGTAAACAAGAAGACATCCATGATTTCAGGTGTATCAAAATATTACACTATGTTCTTAGATAAAGGACACTGCTCTCATTCCATTCCCAAACCTTTGCTACATACATAATGGAGACGATAGTTCTGTAACACATGTATAGGTCAACACAAAAATGAAAACCTTTTTTTTTTTTTTTTTTATGAAATATGTTCAATAAACACCACTCTCACTGGATTACATCTTATTTAATAGTCTGATTTTTTTTTTTTTTTTTTTACAAAGTGTTTCTGGAAGCAGTTGCTTTTGATAAGTAATGGCAGCTGCACTTAATCCCCTCCTGGTATTTCAAACTGAAAGGTTTGATCAGACTATGTGACATAATGGCTGCTATAAAAAATTCTGAAAGTTTATGGCCTTTCGTAATACAAGTTAAACATTAAAACAAACAAAAAGACATGGTCACTAATGATTTGTGTGGTATTTTATTAAATGATTTTTGTTTTTAGCCAAAACAATCATCATAAATTTTATCATAAAAAGATAAAAAAGAATCCATTGTTGCTGGAGGGCAAGATGTGTATCATTCTTAAACCGCCACACAAATTCCCCAAGCTGCATTAATGTCAATCATGGTTTCATCCAGTTTCTCTCCTCCCTCTGCCCTGCAGGAAGGATGGTGTCCCAATTGGTTATAAAGGCTGCACTTTCCACAGGTATGTAACCAAGCATTGGGTCTCTTCTATAAGATGCGCCAGACCAATCTAGACATGCTAATCTAATGCATAAGAGTTCCTAATGGGGACGTTTTCAGAAAGAATAGCTGACCTGAGATACTCTGAGTAATTCTTTTTTTGTTTTGTTTTTTTGAGTTTTTACGGCCATAGTGGCTATTTTTTGGGACAGTTGGCTGACAGGAAAGTGTGTAAAAATATAATAATATAAAAAAAAAAAAAAAGTGTGTATGAGAGAAGGGGAGAGACATGTGTATGAGGTGCCCCCAGGGACATAAATCTGAATTAACTTCCATATACACATATTAATTTAAACACTTCCATATAATATACTAAAAAAACATGCATAAACAATAGTGAAAAGCTCTCACATAAACTAGTGAAAACATTTACCTCTTATATAACCTAATGAAGATCTTGCACAAACACTAGTGAAAAGCTCTCACATAAACTACCGTATTTTCATGACCATAACGTGCACCGTACTAAAAGGCGCACTCTCATTTATGTGTGCCATTTCTGTATTTAACACACACATAAGGCGCACCGGACTATAGGGCGTGGGTTTTATATACAGGTACATGTCCTCTACTACGTTTAAATACCTCTACTGCGTATTTAAAAATAGAGCGGGAGCAAAACTGAGTATGATTGTGCTTTATTCATGTATTTATTACAAAGTATTAATCAAACCTGGCCGTGAGCAGCAAAGCTGCTTTAGCCGCGCGTCAGAACTAACTGGTACAAGCAGCAAAAATGAAGCAGCAGACGCGTGAATGTAGCATTACTTTGAACGGCCGGTTCACACCGATGTCGAGCGGTTGAAGTTCTTTTGTCAGACCTCCCGGAATAACAGCAAGCACAGGGTTAATTTGTTTCACCATGTTTTTCACATTGACTGTGAGATGGGCACGCATGGAGTCACAGATTGGAGTCACCTCCCTCAGCCCCTCTTTCATCATCTCCTCAATGAGGAGATGATTAGTCCTGCATAAAGCACATACCTGTTCTTTTATACACAATCCACGCCCACACTTCCCCCTTTAACGTTCTCATGGTGGTCTCAAACGTCCGCATTAACAACACACATAGGGCGCGCCGCACATTTTGAGGGAAAAAAATATGTTTATATGCGCCTTATAGTCGTGAAAATACGGTACTAAAAAGCTTTCACATACACTACTAAAAAGCTTCCATACATACTAGTAAAAAGCTTTCACATACACTACTGAAATGCTATTTGCGGATTCAGATGAAAACGGAAGGCATTTCAGCATCACAAGATTTGTGACTTTCCAGAAAACACTGTATGTGTTTATATTGTAAGGTACATTGTTAGAAATACTTAAAATGAGACAGTTTTTGAAAGAAAGAAATAATTTTCCTTTGCCGATCTGAGCTAAAAAGAAAGAAATACTCAGGGATACCTCTAAAAACCCTGCTACTGAGCGCGGTAATTTCATGGAGTAATTTGTTGTCATAAGTTTACTCAGAATAATGGCTTACTATAACTTTCTGAAACAGAAAATCCTGAGTTTAAAATAATTTTCCCCAGAACATAGTTTGGTTTGCCTCTGACCTTGTTTGGCAAAATGGAATGTAATGTTTTTTGCTAAGACAACATTAGCAGAAAACGGATTATACTCAAGTACCATAAAAACAATAAAATATGGGACAATACAGGCCTCAGTAAATTGATGATGGTACCATATGTGTTAATATTGACAAAAGTTTAAACAGAATGAACTAGATGGTCGTGGTTGAAAATTGACATTTCAACTTCACATTCTTTTCTGTTAAGATAACCCTCTCACAACAAAAGGATTAGCACTTGTGCTTTGTCAGGATAGTATGGATGTGTCTGTCTTTCTAAATTTGCATAAGTCATACTCACCAAACAGGTAAAGTCTGAGAGCATAGTTAACGGCAGCAGAATCTACCTTTGAACAGTCTGGAAGACACATCAGTTTGCTTTCTTCCTTCTTTTTTTGTATTCCGAGTCTATATGTCTATATAGAAGGCTAATTTTCTCTGTAAGATTCCCTTTTATTTTTATCTTAGATGTTGGGTGTTGATATAATATTTCAATAATTCAAACTGATTTATCCTTGAATCCCATTTTCCTCAAGATGTAGTACAAAAGTTCCAATTTACAGTCAAAAGCTATTTCTGCTTATACACTAAGCAGCACCGTACTCCATTTTTCTCTCTACTTATTCTATGATATTATACCTGCTGTCCTTTTATGAACCCTGTCTGATCTTCATCTATTAATTCTGATATAAAAGTGTTTCTTTTTTTCAGTTTCTTCAGGTTTATTGGTTATTATATTGGTTTAAAGGTCTAAAATTTTAAAACTTGTTTTTGTTGATTGCTGTTTTCTGTTGTGGTGAAGAGAGAGCTGAGCTCTCGATTTACTGGTCGATCTACTTTCCTACTCTCATCTATGGTCATGAGATTCCAGATACAAGCGGCTGAAATTAGTTTTCTCCGTAGTGTGTCTGGGCTCTCTGTTAGAGATAGGGTGAGGAGCTCGGTCATCCGGGGATGACTCAGAGTAGAGCCGCTGCTCCTCCACATCGAGAGGAGCCAGTTGAGGTGGCTCGGGCATCTGATTAGGATGCCTCCGGGATGTCTCCTTGGTGAGGTGTTCCAGGCACTTCCCACCGGGAGGAGGCCCAGGACACGCTGGAGGGACTATGTTCCTCGGCTGGCCTGGGAGCTCCTTGGGATTCTCCCAGAGGAGCTGGCCCAAGTGGCTGGAGAGAGGGACGTCTGGGCCTCCCTACTGAAACTGCTACCACTGCGACCCGACCCCGGATTAGTGGAAGAAGATGGAAGAATGGGTGGATGTTTTTTTAACGTTTTAGCTAAAAGTTTTGTAGATCGGGGACCCATCTCTTAGCAACTCTGTCTTAAAGATATATGTATTAGTTTTCCCATTCTTCCTCATCCAGGTTATGTATGTTTTATTTTATTTATTTATTTATTTATTTTTTCAGGAATTGCTGCTCCAATTTCTTAATTGTTTTTAGAATATCCCTCAACCAGATTGTCTCAAACATGGCTACGTATGATAAAGTTGTCAGTGAGCTGAGACATTTAGCAACTGTTTTTGAAAACAATGCTGATGCTTGAGTTTCTGAAAAGGGGGACCCTTATTTTTTTCGGGGGTCAGCTGCTTGGCCGCTGACTGAACCGGACCGGGCATTCGAACCGAGCCATCAGCTCTGGGGCTGGTCGGGGTCCGGGTCCGGAGCCAGCCGGGGATGGAGCAAACTAACCCAGTCAGTAGCCCAGCAGGCCCCCTAGCCTAGTCCAAACAAAAAAACAATATAGTCAATACTATAACGTTTGCATTGTTTTAAAAAACAGTTGCTAAATGTCTCAGCTCACTGACCAGTTCATCGTAGGTAGCCATGTGTGTTGCGACTGTGGCTATTGGCTGCTAACCAACCAATGGGGAGAAGTTGAGCCCTTAAGACACACCCCTACTTGTATGCATAATGATGCAGAAATGCATACAGAAATGTAAATACGACAAGCAGAAATAAATAGTGTTGAAGAAATAAATAGCATAAAAAAATACAAAGGAAGAATAAACCAGGCAAAAATATTTAAACATGCACATAAATAAATGCTTCAAAAAATAAGTAATAAATAAGTAAAGTTGAAGAATATAACAGACAATAAATAAGGTAATTATTGCAAAGGCAAATAAACAAAGAAGCTAATTTAAAGATATATATATATTTATGTCTCACTGTTTACTTTAATTTTTACCTACATTTGTATTTTTGCGGGGCAATTAATTGTATGCTTATTTATTTTTGGAGCATTTATTTATTTCTGTATTTATTTTTAGTTATGGCAGAGTTGGTCCTACATATAGAACAACAAAGCAGCAGAACAAAAATATTTGAACAGGTAAAACAAGTAGAATACTGAACAGCTGTCATGGGGCCGCTTCTACACATCCCCCATTAACCCTTTGGGTGGGTGGCCAGGGAGTCCTCACAGTCGGTGAGGGCATGCCTCCAAACTATTGGACCAGCCTATTATAGGATGATCAAATCTAGCATTTTCCAACATACTTTCTTTAACTCCCTTGTTGGTATTTGTGTTTGCATTGGTCCGAATATAAAATTAAATTACAACTGGATTAAGAGTATCTATATGCTAACATTAGATGTCACTAAGAACCTTCTGCAGGAACTTGTTACCTTCCACACTCGATGGACGACTTCGTTAAGTTCTCTGAAATTCCTGTAGTCTCTCACGTATGTGCTGCTTTAGCTTTGGGTCGCCATTACCCACTCGTTGCCATCCAACGTCGAAGCCCCTAGGGTATGGGTCAACATTTTCCAGGCCAAGGACCCTCAAACTGATGGCGAGATGGAGCAGGGGCCCCCTAATTACATATATTGTATGAAATTGTGTTATATCAAAATGGTCCTATAGTCACTCTATTACAGATGGGTGATTCCAGGTTGATGGGACAGGTGTTTTGAATGAAACGGTGCCCAGCTTGAAAGAGCTCCTGTGTGTCGCTGAATGTGTGAATTGATGACTGAAAGACATCTTTTGCCTCCATTTATCTGTTTACTACAGTGTGTTGAATTCGTGTTAATGTGCATTCAAAGACATTTGAATTTGTGGAATAGATTGTTGCAGGAATATAAAAAAAAAAGTCTAATCAACCAAAACGTTCACGACCCCCCATACAGTACCTCCATGGACCCCTTAGGTGTCGCTAGACCTCCACCCTAGGGTGTAGATCTCTGGCACTGCTGTAGCTTTGGTAACCGTCGCTGCAAAAGATGTGCATTTTGGTGTAAGGGTTCAGGAACCAAAATGCACTTTTCTTTCAGTACTTTTTTAATGGGAATATAGGTGCGTTGAACTTGCATTATTTCCGTTGGGTAGTCGTGGTCAAAGAAAATAGGTTTATGGGCCACAAAAATAATCTTCTCCCATGGTTT